CAACCTCATCTGCACCTCAGTTGAAAATGTTTTACTTGGAGGTGAAAATTTTCGATATACATGCAACATTTATATAATGACATAATTGAAAATTCGTCAATGTTTACGAAAGGCTAAATGTTAATTCTGTATTTCTACAGGAGTGCGCAACCGAGTACACAGCCCTCTTGAGAACCAAAGACAGTTTAACTGAAAAATGCAAACATCGATGTAGTAATAAAAGACCACATAAGAGGAAATAGAATATCATTAATGTGTGATTAAATACAGCGGTTTTTCTAATCGTCATGGTCAGTAAACAAATGATGTCCTTAGAGGGAAAAAGTCAACAGAATTCCGAAAGTCAACACTCCCACGAAAAGGGAGAGAGGATAATTACCGAGTTACTCAGAATTAAGTCATTCTGTTGACTTGTACTTAAATTTACACAAAACTTAAGATGTTATACGCATAAATTGTATTCATATACGTTCGTCGATCGCTGATTTTTAGGAAGTGAAATTTAAAATAATTATTGTGAATACCTTAGGATAAAAAAATACATGGGATTGCATAGGAGTATACAGGTGTATCTATATCGCATAGACAATAATTAAGAAAAATAAATTTTATATAAACATATAAGAAAAAAGCTTTTTTTTAAAAAAAAATAATGTAATCTAGAGTAATTACAAGTCATCATGATAACATAATGGAAAAGTAATCAGATGTAATCAATTACTCTAAAAAAAAATGACTGTAATAAGCTTGTAATCGAATCCAAAGTAATTGTTATTTTGATCGCCCCCATCCCTGCGAATGATATGTCTATTCGAAGCAAATAACGGGAAATAACTCTAATATGTTCTTTAAGCAGGTTCATTATTAAAAAGAGATTCGAGGAGTTATTGATCTTTTTCCCCTAGTTCTAGCTTGCAGATCTGTAGCTTTGCGGTCTGAAGCTACAGATCCACCCATCAAAAGTGCACACATTTTCTAAAAGCTGCCATTTCAGAATGTTACTAACCGTGTGTTTCTGATATATAGTCTCTAACTATTTCCACACCTAAACATTCCCCAAACTGTTGTAAATAACCCTAATGGGCCTGAAATTGAGACAATCGAAAATTTCGCCTTTTTACACCAGTCTGTAAGTTTAATATTTATATATCTGTTCTTTGTGTTTATAATTTTTTTTTACCAGATGTTTATATTTACCTTATTTATGAAACATTTATCATTTGAAATCGTATTGACGGAACTTTTTCGTCAATCGTGTACACATCTCTATATTTGTTCAGATTTCTATATAAGGAACGGAAGTATTTCTCCTTATGATTAATTCAATTAAAATTAGATTTGACTAATCAAAGCTTTACATGTTTTCTACCTGAAAAAAGTTAAAAGTCTTATTGAATATCAACTTACGAAACAATAGTGCGTCGAATTCTTTTGCCACCTTAAATGGAAGTATAAAAATGCGAAAGTTTCGATGGTTTAAATTCAGGTCCAGGAGGGCTATTAACAACAGTAGTTGGAAATGCTGTGTTGTAGAAGTAGTTATTGAATATGTTAGGAACACATAATTAGTAATATTTCGAGATGACAGCTTAAAAATGGGGAGAAATAAATTAAGAAACGTGCACAATTTTTTGTGCGCAATAAATATACATTTTTTTTTCTATGAATGGATCTGTAGCTTTCTGGTCGTTTATGGCATTTCCTTCCAGATCTGCAGCTACCCTAACTAGATGACATGTATTTTCTATATCACTAAATTTCCATTTTCTCAAATCAATGCATATGAAAAAGATGAAGATAATAAACAGTGATCAATCTCAAGAAACCTACAAACAATACAATTCTGTGTGCAGGGCATGAAACACTGACCCCCCCCCCCAAAAAAAAAATTCCAGAGGTTGGATCAGGTGCCTAGGAGGAGTAAGCATCCCCTGTCGACTAGTCACAACCGCCGTGAGCCCTGTTTTAATCAGGTATACGGAATATTCCGTAGTCAAATTTAGTATAAGAACAAAGGCCTAACAATTAGTATGAAATATATCAGTCAAATACAACCCATTGATAGATTGTATTGGCTAATTGTATTGTTATTACGACCATAAAATTACGAAATGCTCCATGTAACATCAACTTATTTGTTTAAATCATATTTAAATATGGATTGTACTTGAAGCATGCTTCTGAGCATCGAATAAGTTCGGAGACATAAACACCACATGCAGGTGATAGTGGAATATTATTGCATAAATAAGGGACGATGGAAAAGCTGAAATCATTTGGGTTGTCATATAGTTTAGTTGTTAGTTGTCCATTATTCATATATAGTCAGTAAGACATCCAAAAATGAGACATGTGGCAGTTTCTGTGATGTCTTTTATTTCGAGTTCACTGAGATATATCGAATCGACATATGAATGGAAGTAACTATTGTTAACTGCATGATAAAAAGTCGTCGATATATCTGAATGTCGAGTTGAAGACCGCAGCAAGTGTCTTCTTCCTCATGTCGAGTTGAAGACCGCAGCAAGTGTCTTCTTCCTCTTCTCATGATGAGGTATAAAGAAGTCATACGTTTTGATGTTACTGACTTTGAAAAAAAATTGTGATTTTTCAATTTTCTTAAAGTTCTTTGGAGTTTTTTTTTTGAGAATCCAAACTTAATTTAAACCACATCTCGAATATGCTGTATCTGAACTTTCTGCTTTTCAGCAATTAATAATTTTGTGAGGAGTGAAGATAGGGGCTTGGTAGAGCATTTGCTGGAGTAGGCAATGTATCTTTGTTTGTAAGGATTTTTATGAAGCTTAGAAATCCAGTATAGGTAGGTAAATCAAGCTCACTTTCGTTGACTGGAATGATTAAAGTATGAAATGTGATTTTGAGAGAATTTCATCCTTAGAAAGTGAACTGTGAGTATATGAGTTAAAGTTGGATTTCCAGATGTAGAATTAAAACCAAGTTCTTCTAAAATACAATTGTAATGATGCGTTTGCAAACAGAACGATATTGTTACAAGCCTTATCTGCGGGAACCATAACATTTTGTTCATGTAGTCTTTCTAATTTTATCACTTCCGCCTTGGTGAAAACGGAAGAATAGATGATTTGCATATTGTCTTTTTACTTTCTAACACGATTCTTTAATATATTTCTAAAACACTTAATCCATTCTGACAATATTTTCAGGTCTCCCCTTTCATATTTCGCCCAACGTCTGGCATAATCTTCGACATAATTTATATAATAGAAATGAAGTTCTTTCGCCAATTGAAAGATCGGGGCTCCCGTTTATTTAGGACCTTTTAAACTGATTGCTTTTAGAACATCATTTTCAACTATGTTTACATGTACATCACCAGGTGAGGTGTACAGGGGGATTATTGTTGAAAGAAGAAGAAGAGCAAGAATACTTAAAAGGATTTTTTCTAGATGTTCAAATTCTAGGCACTGTAAAGTTCGTTTATAATTGAAAAGTTTGGAAGCAATAGTAGGAGAATATCTGTAGGAAAATGCAGGATGTAGACTTAAACTTTAAATATGGTGAAATGTAAGAGTGAACGTTTGTTTGATTGAGAATGTTACTGATGTTCACAGCATCTATTACTTTGTTGACAAATTTATGTCTAAGGAACTTACTGGTCGAATCGAAATTATTATCTTCCGACACATGTGGAGGCCTAAAGAGTCTGTGCTGGGCAACATCCATAATCGCAAACGTTAGCTTGTACTCTGCATTTGAAGAATCCAAGTTTGGACTTGCTTTAGCTTCTTCAAAAAGTCCGTTAAAAATGTTAAGGAAAACAAGTAAAGTTTGGTGCAAACGTTAAGAATACCTAATTGTTTATTGACGTGAGGTAGATGTGAATCAAATGAGACATCACATATATTTGGTTCACTGTATGACTGATGTCCATGAGTCTATGTATATTGTTAAAAGTCTCATCACATTCACACTGGCACATCGTGAGCTTGATAGAAACCCTTCATTATTTATGTCGTCGTTGCAACCATACGCGGAAATGCAGTGCCTAGTTTCCTGATCCAGTATACGTCTCGTTGTCTACTGAATTGAGTACTTACAGTGGGACTATTAGTCGGATGGTATATTTTTTTCCAAAATTCTAACCCTCTTTGAAAAGATAAAGTGGTCAGCGAATTGAAATATTTCTAAGGATGTTGATGTTCCCCATTATTTCTTTCAAACTATGCCCCGACATTCTATTATTAAGTGAACCCATTGTTTCCCAAATATACTAAGTCAGTCCGCAAAAATTACATTCAATTCCATAGAAAAAGTTTTACAAGTCAAATTTACAAGATTACCTAAATTATTTGTTAAATTTTACCACTCATGACCAAACGACAGACTGCTCATGAAAGAAAAGTACGCCTATGTATTTGTTGTCTATATTAAACAAGATGTGTTTATAAAATACTGATGCCTCATCAGGTTTTTCAAAAGTAGGTCAAACTCCAAATCATGAGGTCAAAAATAGTGATGCCAAAAGAAAGGCCTTGTCACGAGGAATACACCTTTGAAGTCGTAACACAAAGCGTTTAGAAGTTATGGCCAAAGTTAATGTTTTTTCAAAAGTAGGTCAAACTACAAGGTCAAAGGTCAAAAATGGTAGTACCAAAGAAAGATCTTGTCAAAAGGAATACATGTGAAATATATAACCACTATCACTAACCGTTTAGAAGTTATGGCCAAGTTATCGTTTTCAGAAGTAGGTCAAACTCCAAGGCCCAAGGTTATGGGGTCAAAAATGGTCGTACCCTAAAAAGAGTTATAAATTTTGGTACTCAAAGGAAAGTCTTATCAATAGTCTGTCCTTGTACACATGTAATTTAATAAAAAAAAAATTGATATATACCCTAAATTTTTTTTCTACTTTCAATAAACCAGGATAGCAAATGATCATATCTGAGAAATATAAAGAAATGATACAACTATTTTCTTGCAGGGAGAAAGAGAAATCAACAGTTACTGTAGTAAAATCATTCATTTATGCTGGCCTAATCTTCATCTCTACACGTGCCATTGAGTACTGTTTCTGTTTCCATGGATACCACTCTATACCGGTACCTTCAAGTGTGGGATCCCCAGAGATTTCTCCCATAGTCTTGGGCCCATACGGTATTCCTTTTAGAAATACGCCATTCAGATTGGAGCTTAAATATAAATAAATATTTTTATACAAATATTTAATTTTATACACTTTTAATTATATTCCAAATAAATTTAATTTTAATATTTTGACAGTTTTCAACATCCAATTTTCTATTTCGTATGAGCAATTTAGTCCATTGTACCATAGCTTGTTTTCTGCAACTATGAAACTTCGACGAAGAAGTTGGGTTTGGGCAAAAAAAAGGTCGGGTTCGCATACCTATAGCAGGAATTGAACCACCATCCCGAATTGAGAAGCTTGGCACAGTTCATAAAGGAGCTGTCTCGATCTCGATCAGGAGTGCTAAATCTGTGATTATTGTGACGTAGAAGACTGGATTGTGGGTAGTTAAACGAATCCCCTACAATAATATTATCACATAATTGATTATTGCGTAATTAAACTCTATAGAAAACAAAATCTCATAAAATCCATGCTTTTTGTGATAAATTTCTTTCGTACGAAAATGGAAGGTAAATAATAAACCCTTAGGTTTATTTTCCTTTCATTTTCAAACCGGAAAGGTGTAAAAGTTTTAGATTAATCTTCGAGTCTTACTTATATTCACAAGAAATAATTTTCTTTGTAATTAATGTGTAAATAGATTTTTAATTCCACATTTATGTAATCTTAATTTAACCAAAAATAATAATCTCGTTTGTCAAATTAGTTGTGATGTTGTAAAATGTATTGAGATTTTTCTTCAATTTGTGACCTTATTATTATTGAAAAGTGTTTCCATTTTATAAACCTGCAAACATCCTCACAAGGGCATGGGGTCCTGTGACTACACGGCTTAAACGGCCCTAAGTAGAAACAGGACCCGTGATGCTGTGAGGATGATCTACAAAGTATATTCTTTGAAAGGTTCATTTTAATCAATTTACTATTTACATAGGATGTAGTTTGTATTTGAATGGAATAACTTAAATAATTTGACCATCCATTTTAGCCCCAGTCCCCAATACTTATACAGAAACACTTATGTTTATTTTCTAATTTAAATACCCGCAGTTCCTGTATATTTTCCAGCTGTGAGTGTATAATCCATGCTCTCTGGACCTACATAAAAATCCCTATATTCTGCATAGACGATGTCTCCTGTCCAATCCATGAGTTTGATGTTGATGACGTTATTTCCGGCAGCTGTTAATCTGTGTATTGCCTCGTTTCCGAGCCAGAATTCGGAAGTGAGATTTCCGAATCCCTCCCTATAATCTGTCCAGTTTCGATTAAAATTGACTGATCCGTCCTGACGTCGTTGTATGACCGTCCAGCGGCCTCCATCATGGTATAAATCACAGTACACTTGTTTTGCACTTCCTGAAAATTGTAGCGATTGAATATGAAATGTGACTATAACGAACAACAATATATTCAAAAGTCAAAAAAAAAAAAAAATACAAATTGAAAACAGAGCAAACACGGAATTCTGAAACCATCAGAGGTGGGATCGGGTGCTAGGAATAACTAAACATCCCTATCGACCAATTGATTTAAATAAAGAAAACAAAAACTTTGTTACAGTTCCACTTCAGGTGTTATTTGTGTTATCATCTACAATCTCTTGTTTTATGAATATATCGTTCCCAATGATCTTATTAGATATAATTTAAGGTCATTCATATCACCAGATGAAGATGTTCTAAAATTGGTTTTATGAAGAGGTACCTATATGGTGGGGGAAGCGTATTGCTGATACCCAGTGGTACAATTTCGATTCCAGATGTTAACACAAGTAAAATAACATTAAATGTTAGAGAAAATTAAAAATGATAGCATCAACTGTAATTGAGCTTTGCACTGACCTCCTAGCTCTATTTCGTACACACCGCTAGATGTCTCTCCTTTAGCAGCCAAATCAGCACAATCACGTTGCGTGGGTGGTGCTATAGAAAAAAAAACATATTTACAAGTCGACATCATACTATCTGACACGTCGAATTATAAATAATTGAAAAGATACCTTAATATGTCGACTTGTTCAGTTAATTAAAATTATAGTTTACTTGTCAGATAATTTCTGTATGACGACTTGTCAGAAATTAGGACGACTTGCCAGAAAGTATGTCGTCAGAAAAATATGTCGACTTGTCAGATAACTATGTCAATTTCTAGACTATTATGTTGACCTGTTTTTAAATTATTTTGTCGATTTGTTGGAAAATTATATTTACTTGTCAGATAATTATGCAGATTTGTCAGATTTTATTTTTGTTGGACACGTTTGTCGACTTGTCAGATGATATGATGAAAGGTACTTAGATGTCAATCAATGACATTAACTTGCTTTAAATACAAGACACTGAGTCTTTGTCATGCTTATCATTATCTGACAAATCGAAATAACAATCTGACAAGTTACATGTAATATCCATAAATAATATCTGATTTCTGACAAGTTGACATAAACACCTGACAAGTGGGTGGCAGAAATGTACCATTATATAAAGTAAATGATCATTCAGTTTTACCTCAACATGTTTCTTGAGCACTTAAATGAATGTTAAAGTATTCATTATTATTTTATTATTATTATTATTTTTTTTTTTTTTTTAAAAACATGTCTTAAAATCAAGTGAAATGTGTGAATAATTTAGTATTATAAAAATGCAAAGCAACGAATCAAAAAAAGGTTTGTGTTTATATACATGGTGAAAGTGATATTATTCACATTACGTCCTGGCCCTGGAAATGTAAAAATTAAAATCTCATTAGTCAAAGGAAAGCTTAGGGCCGTTTAATTACCAACAACATAATATCATAATGCTTTAAACATTGATGACCTTAGATAACCTGTACACGAAGTAACTGAAAAAATGATATTTTACACGAAAGTCAACAACTTTGTCTTCAATGTATATTTTATTGGTGAGTGATAGGGTTAAGGGAACGGTTGGGTGGCAGGTTTGTTTTGAGAACTTGAAAGAAACATACCTGGTGGTGTGCGAATGGCAGTTGTTGAAGATATCGCTGATGAAGGAGTAGGAGGAGTTTGTGTTGCCGTGGTTACTGTTGTGGATACAGTTGACATGGCAACTGCATTCTGCTGTAGTGCTGACACTTGTATTGATAGGTTTTGCACCATTGACATTAATTGCTGGTGTTGAAGCTTTAGAAATTCATTTTCCTTTTTGAGAGCGCTACAGCACGAAGTTGCATTTACAATGGAAGATTCCAGTATGGATATTCGTTCTTCATGTGCGTCCAGGTTTTGGAATAAGGACACTTGGCATTGTATAATATGTACCAAAATTGTTAGAAAGCACCAAATCACAACAAAGGTCGCCATTTTGGCATTACTGTTATGCGTGACCTTTGTTGATAAGAACATTTGATATAAGAACATGTAATATGCTAGCAATAATATCAGAGGGTGCGGTGATCTTTCTCTTTAATGTACAAGCACTTACGTAATGAAAAAAAAATGTTTCGTTGTGTTTTCATAAGAAAGGAAAATTAATAATTTGTAATAATGATAATAATTACGTATGCCAGTATGTGTAATGAGATTCTAACCATAAATCTTATGTATAGAAGATATAACATAATGTAGCAATTTATGATTTTTATTAAATCTTGTATTAAAATCAAATCTAGCTGAATGTCAAAAGACGAAGGAAACCTTTACTTAAGTTTTGTCTTCTTATCTCGGTAATTGTTAAGAAAAGTTCTTAAAGATGCCATCAATTTTTTTTTTCTATTTATGAATTACATTGAACTGTGGGTGTGACCATTCAATACCAAGAAAAGCACAAATGGCGAGCTTAGATAAAAGATAGATAGGAACATCATAAATCACTTAGCTAGGGATGGTGCGCTTGAGAATTTGGGATTTGAGAATCCAGCGGTAAACTATCGCCAGTTAAAATCGACTCCATCAGTGTAAGAGTCCGTTATAGCGACTATGGAATAAGGACGTAAAAAAGACCCTATAGAGGAATTGAACCAAACTCTGGCCAGGCTTCAAAACAAGGTACCATGTTGCAGAAAATGGAATTTGTTGTGGGACACCAAGGATTGCAGATCCTATACAAGTGCCCATTACAATTAGTGACAATTTTTATCTCTTCAATCGAGAACAAACCTGATGTAACAGTCACACAATGGCGCTATCCTGAAACAGGTCATTAAATGGAAAGGGTTACTTCTAAGAAGCCATCATTTAGCCATGAATATATGTCAAGAAAATTCAATTGATAAACATGTACTTTTTTGATTAACATCCAAATTGTGAAAAAGTCATTTTAAGTATAAAATACGTTTCTGAAACAACATTTATCATTTCTAACTGACCTGTTAAATCGTTAACAGACTTTGCAAAAGATGTATGATACATGCGTGGACAATAATTTATTTCTCATTCATCCAAAAACTAGTAGCAAAATTAGTAGTATACTTTTCAAAATGTGTTTCCTCTACATACAAAACTCCAGGAAGATTTAGAAAATTTGAAGTCACATAATTTTACCACAATCAATAACATCGAAACGTACGACATTTCAACACTGTATACAACCATCCCCAAAAATACATTAAAGCCCTAGATTATTGACATCATAGACAGCTGTTTTTCAATAAGAATGGAACTCGTGAATATACTTATCTTGTCATTGGTCAAATATTTTGTTTAAAAAATTATGATTTTACACACAAGTACTCCGAAGTTGACATTCAAGAGATGTTTGAATTTCTGATTGACAATATCTATGTAGTTTTTGGAGATCAAGTCTTCCGACAATCTGTCGAATTTCCAAGTGTACTTATTGCGCCCATTATTAGCAGACCTATTTTTTTAATTCTTATGAAACAGAATTATTTTTTAAAATCTTCTTCATGAAAAGAAGAAGTCTTTTGCTGTGGCCTTCAATTCAACATTTAAATACAGCGTATATCGACGACGTTTTATCAATTAACAATATTCATTTCATTCCTATGTTGATTCGATATACCCCTTTGTACTCAAAATAAAAGATATTACAGAGTTTGACACATCTGTTTCATATTTGGATATTTTAAAAGAAAAAGATCAGTGGTAACAATTCTTCATGATAAAAGTGATGACTTCAACTTTTCTATTGTCAACAATAGGTTGATGAAAAAAAGAATATCAACAGTCTCGTTTAAAGTGAACATCTTGCAAATTTTGTGGTCAGCAATTATCTATCGTTAAGTCGAATGTTGACTGGCGTTTTTTATACAAGTTGTAAAACATTATTTTCATACTGAATCGTTCATGGATTTTTCCTTTGGCCCGATCATGACAAGGAGCGCACGGCGGATGTGACGGGGTTTGACAGGAGATGTTTACCCCTCCATGACACCAGATCCCACCTCTTTGTTTTTAGAGGTCGGTATTTAGTCTGCTCCAAATCAAATCTGTATTTGTTTCAATAGATTTTTGAGCTTGGTTACTGTTCGTTAATTGTTTCTATATTTCATTCCAAAATTATATCAACAAATAAAAAATTAAAACATTTTCTAATTTGCGTTATCAATTTTAAAACAATTTTTCCAGTTAATTGCTTGATTATGTGAGAATTTCACATTCTTAAAAGAATAATTGTCGTTTAGGTATAAACCTATTATAATAGATGTAGTAAGAATTAGAATTGCCACGTCATATTTGGCGTATACAAAAATTTCCTCAGATTTTCCAGCACGATCTAAGATAGAAATACCAGGTATTTTGATAAGTTGTGGTCATTGCAGTTACTGTTTGTGCATGTGGTCTGAGATATTGTTTGTGTTTCAAACTAAATATCAGTCTTTGTAAAAATGCTGTATAATTAACAACGTATGTAGTTTTTAAGACCAGATATTGATTCCTTATCATATATTCAATTTTTTGCGATCACACATTTTTAGAAAATTGAATGAAGTGCAATCTCTTTACACCCGAGTAGATACATGTATTTCAAAAATCTTTTTTCCCATCTGTTTATCCTTCCTTCTTCATGAACTTAGCCTTGAAGTATCCTTAAATAGCATATGTCCACCTGGTATTTTCTATCATTCATTACTGAACTTTCTTTGGCAATGTGAAATTTAATTCTGTAAAACTCTTAAAGGATCATCACAATTTATGACATTTTAAAAATGAACAACATTGTACACAGTACTTAATATTTAATTTAAATATTTTTTATCAGTCGTCTTTTTAAGTAAGTGAGAGTAAATGTTTTAAAATCGGCGGATTTCTTAATCATCTCACTTGATTGATTATTCAAAAGCCGTCTTTTTAAATAAGAGAGAGTATGTATTTTAATTTCGGTAGATTTCTTAATCATCTTACTTGAAATGTTCAAATTATCCCTACATCTGCGTTTGTCTGACAAATGAAAGTTTAGCTATTTGAAACAAGCATTTAAAATAAATCTCGAAATTGAATAACAATTCTTTTTTTTCTCCATTTTTCCTCTCTATCTTGGATTTTGATCGCCACACATTTTAAAGATATCGTAGAATTTACTATTTATGTAAATGTTTCCCCGTTAAAATATTTAATAATACAAAGTAAATGCACGATTGTACATCTAAACTGAAGAAAAATAATCTCTCTCTCTCTCTCTCTCTCTCTCTCTCTCTCTCTCTCTCTCTCTCTCTTATATATATATATATATATATAATATATATATATATATATATATATATATATATATATATATATATATATATATATATATATATATATATATATATATATATATATATATATATATATATATATATATACTAGAATTAAATCCAAGATCAACAAACAAGTTCACATTTAATTATTACACTTAGCGCTTTTGCCGTGAGGCTCTTCAGAGTGTAACAAAGTTTATAAAAGCAATACAACTTGGTTGTTATGACGTCGTTATAACGTTATTTTCTTTATGGTGTCATTTCCATAGTCTGAACATAGTCTGAAGCATTAGTGCTTCCACCGAAACTTTATAAAATTATTACAAGGTTTTACAAGCAGAGCAAACACAGACCTCCAAAAACATTAGAGGTGGGATCAGGTGCCATGGAGGAGTGAGAATTCCCTGTCGAGCGGTCACACCCGCCGTGTGCTCCTTGTTATTATTGGAAAATAACGGAAAAACGGTGTGTAAATAATGGCCTAACAATTAGTATGAAAAACGTCTGTCAGCATTTGACTTAATGAAAGATTGTATTTGCTGACAAGGTCATTGTATCGACCATAGAATGTACGAAATGATTACTTTAAACAAGACTGCTGATATTTTTGTTTCATCAACTTGTTTGTCAATAACTTACCTCATTTTAGTAATTGTTCATACGTAGAGCATGCTCTGGCGTATCGAAACAACTGAGAGATATAAACCCCGTATGCAGGTGATAAGGGTATATTGCTGCATAAATAAAGGAAGTTGACTATTGAAAAGTTAAAGTTATCACGTTTATCATAAAGCTTTGTTGTTAGATTACCATTAACGTCTTTTTCTAATAAAGTATCCAAATATGAAACAGATGTGTCAGACTCTGTGATATCTTTTATCTGAAGCTCACCGGGATATATCGTGTCGACATAACAATGGAAATAACCATTGTTAATTGACAATACGTCGTCGATATATCTAAATGTCGAGTTGAAGGCCACAGCAAGTGTTTTCTTCTTTTCACGTAAAAGATTTTGAACAAATTCTGCTTCATATGAAAACAAAAATAGGTCTGCTAATAACGGGCCGCAATTGGTACCCATGGAAATTCCAATAGATTTTTGGAAGACCTGGACCTAAGATCATGAAACAGACTAAGACTTACGTCAAAGTTTCAATCGCCTGTAAAATGTTTATTTATTGTTGAATTAATCGCTAATTTTGCAGATGACAACACTTTTGTAAAGTAATATAGAACAATATTTTAAATTTTGTGATTGTTTGACTTCTACAACATTTTATCACAAAATAAAAATTTGACTTAACCTTAAGACTTTTCATGATCCCGAGGCCTGGTCTCCAAAAACCACATAGATATTGTCAATCAGAAACTCGAACATCTTTTTATTGTCAACCTTAGAGTACTTGTGTGTACAATCAGATCTAATTTTACAGAACCTAATTGGAAAACTCAGGTTTTTATGCATTTTGAGATTGAATGAAAAAGGTGATGTTCTTGGCACCGTAGGGTAGACTATGCTGTTTTTTATGGTTGTTTAACGTTAAGTAAGCCTTAAAATAAATTTGAATGCATTATCATCTGTACATATACAAATGTTTTGAAAAAGAAGTCAATGAAAATCCATGATGTTAAAATGTGAATTTTCACATTTTGTTTCCATGGTATCACTGCATATAGACTATATTCCCCTCGGACATTTAAATATAAAACAGGTTTCAGCAATGATTTTAATTAAACTTATTATTTTCAAAACTGAACATTTTTCCAACTTTGAAACTCATTTCTATGGTAGCCATTTATTCATTATATTACAGATATCCCGAAGTCGTCATGTTATATAACGTGTGGAGGAAATCGATGATCATGTGTGTCATGCCTCTTTTATGAAAATATTCTTACAGAGAATAGCTTTTAATATGCAATTTTTTCTATATATTTTCATAAATTTCTGTCAAATTCTTAACTAATATAAATGCAACTTAAAATAATTGTGGTCTTGTTTTATTTCCCGTTTTATAATTACTAATAAATTCCTTTTTCACAACTATCACACATAAAACAAAAATGCGCAGTGATTTCTCAAGTTGCACTTGAATTAACTGTTGAAGCGTGATTATCCAGCTGTTAAATATGCACCGTCCCACTCAATATGTTTACGTCAACAAAATGCATTAATCAGTCATGCATATAACTTTTTTTAAAATTAAAGAGGATATAATTTCATTTCTGTTCAATGTGTGAAATTGATGAATTCTCTTAGTGTGCGAAATATGTAAGAACTCTGCAATTTAAATCTTTTGATTTGTCTGGAAAAGTTTGGAAGGAGGAAAGTATGAATGTGCTGACAAAGTGCAGGTAAAGTTGATTTAATATGTATTTTAAACATGGCAGATACTAAAGTGCGTAAGAACTTTAAGGAAAATTTAGTTTGAGAAACGAATAAAAACCCAAAAATAAATCATAAATTAATAACTCTTGCTATTTACATATAAAATGATATTTAATGACACCGATCTTCTTGCTCGAGAGTTATTTTTTTCTCAAATCATGCATTTGTAGATTGTTTATGAACACGTTTCTTGTATATGTCCCTTATGTACATGTAATACATTTCAAATGTCAAACAACCACTTGACGTTATATTTTGTTGTATGTCACTTATAATTGTGAACTTTTGTTTAAATCCCGTTCTAAATCTTTTTGTACATCATATTTAGAAGATACCTAGACAAAATAATCAACTAATCCTATTTTCAAGATATGTTTATTGCCTGAGGCGGTTCCTCAAACGTTCAATCAATTGTTAATTTTCTGTTACCAAGGTGCAGTTTATTTTCGTCGTACAACCTTGTGATATTAGTTTTTTTTTTTTCAAAAATACACTCTGTATTCCAATTGCAATATGAATCTTTAATCACACTTTAATTTCTCTCTCTCTCTCTCTCTCTCAGATGTCAAGTTTTGGGCATTATTTTTTAAGAAATATTTAATGAATATAATTACACAATTATCTTTTATGGATAGAACACATGAGGTTGAAAGTAGAATATAGATTTGAGGAAATATTTTTGTAAGAGGTTGAATTAATAAGTTCAGTCAATACAAGTTAAGAAATAATATTCAAATAAAGTTAACATTTTTTTTATTAATCAGAGATATATGACTACCTTCTGATCAAAACAATAACAAAATATACTAGTTAACTGTACATGTACGTAAAGTTTATCCACAATTACATACGGAGTTTTTAAAAGTTCATTTATGTCGCTCATACCAATATTAGTGGTACATGAGGTAGTATGTAAGTCGTCATAGTTACGGAAAAAATGATAAATATATGTATGATACAATAGCGTAAATGAGAGGCATAAACATATGTACAAAGTATAGCAAAAAACATACAGTGAGAAAAGAAAAGAATGGGATGATGACATATTATGGAGGACATACGGTGACAATATTTATTTTAATTTGTACACAAATGCCAAAATATTTCTTCTATAAAACAGTAATCTATTGAATTTATATGATATCTAAAGCATTCATAATTATGTGTTTCTACATATGTTAATCTCTATTCCAGCTTCGTTTCATAAGAGACATATGGGTAAAAGGCTTACGTGAACCAACCTGGCCCTGCTTTTCCTCAAGAAAGATTTCAAAAATATTTTTTTTTCCTTAAAGGCAGAGATTTTATCCCGTTTGGTAAATTCCAGGTGAGGGAGGGGCTTATTTTGTACAGGTGTGAATGCCTTGAGGGCTAGCAGTCTACCTGTGGTCGTTTGTCTCCTAATCCCTATACACAGGAAGTGATTTAATACATAGCAGAGTACCCAAAAAGTCGAACTTTACCTGTGTTGGGATTTTGAGATGATTTTGAATTAGAAATAAAAAGTTGTAAATAAAGTTTAATCACAATAATTTTTATTAATTTCAATTGAATGTGGGTCAAAGCATCCCCACCCATTAAAAAAAATATTATTCAAAGTATTTGTTGAGCTTTGACAAAAAATTATACCAAATTATATATATATATTATCATAAAGAATATCAGAATTATTTCAAATACTAAAGGTATTGTATATACATCATCCAGTTAAAAAATCCATGTAATCATGGTAATACATCTTCCCTATTATTTATACCATGTGTGGTAAATATCAAAGGATCAAAAGTTAATTTGAGGGTCACCACGAGTACCAAACAATGTGTACAGGGTATACACAGGGACTGGTAAATAAATGTCAATCAAGTTCTAGCACCCAGTGATGTACCTTAATGCACTTGATTGACAGGGGTACACAGACCAGGTATTTTGAAGGCAGTGCTTAAAATCTCTGCCTTTAATTTTCAATGTAATTTTTTTTCATCATTTATTCATTTGTTACTCCACCCCAGCTTCAATACTTCATGACTCAATCGAACTTGAATCCAGACAACATGGATATGCTTCAGTATCAATATGACTTACTGGCTTTGTGGTTTTTCAGAAAAAAAGTTTTTTTTTATTTTCCTGCACATTTGCAAATATGTTAGTAGTTTTCCCCGGTTTTGGCCCTACAATAACCAACGAGGGTCAATATTTGAAATAGAAATCTTGAAATCAAACATTTGGAATGTTTGCAAATTAATATGATGTATGGTAGTCCATCAACTCTTGAAAATATTTTCTTTAAGTTCCAGTTCTATTCTCAAGTTAAATTGTGCCCCCCCCCCTTATTTGCCACACTTTAGTATCCTAGAGGTCATGGTTCAAACGCTTGAATATGCCCTACATGAGGATGGTTGCATGCTTTTAAGAGTATTCACGGCTTTACTATTTTCTTGGAGGATTTTTTTTGTTGATTTGTTTTCTATAAACTTCCATGTAAATTTTTATACCTTTCAGGAGCCTTATCCTAACCCCAGTACGATGATTCGAACTGAAATGAACAATACCTGAAGATGTTTGCATATTAATATTAATCTTTGTGTTGTTGATTGAGACAATTTAGATTTAGTTTAATATATTTCTATGTAAATATTTGACTCATATTGTGGTCCCATCTTATCCTTAGGGCAAGTAATTTGATCAAATCTGAGTTTGCACTTCCTAAGGATACCTGCATATTAATATAACTAATCAAAGCACCGCTATTTCTGAGAAGAAGATTTTTAAAAGATCTTTTCCTATTTATTCCAATGTATAACTTTGAATCCCCATTTTGATCATTTTGCCCCAACTCCATCTTTCTCTCTCTCTCTCCCCAAATAATTTAAAGAATTTAAATATATACTAAATGTCAGGAATATGACATATGCTCAGTAGTTCTTGAGAAGAAAATTGAGTTCTTGCTTACTCCCGAAATAAGAAAATATATATATCAACCAGGAGCTAGCTGGTGCCTACATTTTGAAGGTTACGTTTAGTCCTAATCATAACACTTAATTTATGAAGTGACGTATGTTTACTTTTTTCTGTTTTCAGGAGGATCAACATATAGTGTCGAATGAGCGTTTTTAAAAATTCTGATTAACAATAAAAGTTGCTCAACTATTATTTGTATATAACTTCAGGATACTCCATTTTTCAAATGTTTTGCATAACTTAACATAATGTGTTCAATGCGACACGTATAATATGTTCTTTAACAGTTTCAAAAACGTATCCTCTCCTACTTGATTTATTTATTCATTTATTTAATTATTTATTTATTTATTTATTTATTTATTTGGAAAGAATGTGGAAATCTATTTATCTATTTTATATTTTGATTTTTTATATAAATCTTTATCTGCATTTTAAACCATCTTATACGTTTAAACTTACCAAATTGCAGAATAGTACCATCATGTGGAGGTCTTCTTTTATTGCCGGTAGTTCTCTATCTTATCATGGTTCTCCTTTTCCGGGATTCTAGAAATACTGTGATTCTTCAAGAACAATCATGTGACATTGAAATGTTATCAGTATTGAAAGAAAGTGAAATGGCTCTTTATCAAAAGTGTTACAGAGGTAGGTAAATGGGTCATCTTTTGATATTTGAAACCATTTGTGACGGTACATATTGTCGTTTTGTACATAATGTCGTCGGCGACAATATGTACCTACCCTCACTGCACATATTGTCGTCCATCGGTACATATTGTCGCGTGCTGAAAAGTTAAACATGTACATATTGTCGCTGGCGACATTATGTGCCTCACCCTCACTGTACATATTGTCGCCCAACAGAAATTGTTGCCTAAAGATTTGTTTTGTTGTTTTTTGGTAGTTTTGTGAATATAATTTTTGTACTAATCACACTGACGTGTGCTATTTCATGCAGCGTGGCTGTGACGGTACATTTTGTCGTCCTGTTCATATTGTCGCCGGCGACAATATGTACCAACCCTCACTGCACATATTGTCGTCCATTAGAACATGTCGCATGGCAATGCACGGCAATGCTCCACATAAATATGGCCAGAGCAACCGAAAACTTCAAAAATGGTCATATACACTTAATTTGATCGTCGAAATATGGCTGAAATATTGCCGACTCGGCGTTAAACAATAATAATACATTCATCAATCAATCCATATAAATACGACTAATCATTGCTAAGCTTTTTTTTTAGAAGATATTTTTTAAAGAATTTTCCCATATATTCCTATGCAAAACTTTGATCGCCCATTATGGCCCCACCCTAGACCCGGGGGTCATGATTTGACTTGAATCTTCGCTTTATACTTGTACATAAATTGGCGTATTCAAAATTTAGCGCAATCACTGGGCATGGAGTTGTTGGCGTAATCATGAATTAGTGCTACACATGTCAGTGCCGTGTATTGTATTTATAAATGATTTCTTAGTGGTATTCATGAATTAGCTCATCCATGTCTGCGCCAAAGCCGCGAACATACAAAGCCCGCTTTTTGTCCCCCGCTTTCACTGAAAGTGGGGGATATTATTTTCCCCCGCTTTCACTGAAAGTGGGGATATAAATTTGGGTCGGTTTGTCCGTCCGTCCGGCTGTATTTCTGTCTGTCTGTAACACTTTCGTTTCCGCGCGATATCTCACGAATTTTTTGAGCTTTTGCGATGAAATTTTACATAACAACTCCCTGTGCCCTAAGGAAGACCCCTATTGATTTTGAGGTCAAAAGGTCAGAGTTCAAGGTCGTAAATTTATACATTCTGTCTGCGTGTAACACTTTTGTTTCCGGGCGATATCTCAAGAAGCTTTTTAGCTTTTGCAATGAAATTTTATACAATAACTCCCTAGGGCCTCTCTCACCCCTCTCAAAGTGTGTAATGTATTAAAAGTCGCTTGGTACTATTTTTAGCACAGTGGCATGTGGAGAGTTATTACGTATAATACAGGTTGTCGGCGGATTTTATATTCTAATTACATCTATTAGAACTGTTTAGTAAAGGCTAAATTAGACAACATTTATTGTGTAAAATTTTGACAATATCAATCATGTGAATTTAAACATTATATGTGACTTAATGTTTGCATTTAATTCGATATATAATAAAGTGCCTCCGTGGTCTAGTGGTATGTTGCTCGCTTAGCAATCGAGAGGCCCGGGTTCAATCCCCGGACGATGCTCCTTTTTTTAATGTTTTTTTTTTTTTTTTTTTTTTTTTTTTTTTTTTTTTTTTTTTTTTTTTGATTTACTAAATGATACTATTCAACATGTGAAATGAAAAAGTTATGATGTCTGGCGTGTATAAACTCATAAAATCATTATTACAGTGTGATAAATATTCTGTAAATAGTATATTAAAAAGAATCTTCTATACACATATTAAAGAATAAGCGATCAAATCTTTATATCCATATTGGCTTTTTTTAATTTGCTACAATATACATGTATACATTTAATAATTCTACAAATACAGGGGGGCAGTGTGACCCCCCCCCCCCCCCGAACTGCGCATGCTCTTCTTTTTTCCCTAAGCGGGGGACACAAATTATCTGAATTAGCTTGTTTAAGTACACTTACAGTAAGTATCATCTCTTCTGACCCAGTACCTCTTGAAAAAAAAATTGACAGATTTTTTTCTAAATATTCTATGAAAAACTTTGATCACCTATTGTAACCACACCCTTCCCCCAAGGGACATGATCTGAAAAAAAAAAAAAAACTTTATCTACACTTCATAATGAAGCTTTCACATAAGTTTCAACTTTTCTGACACAATGGTTCATGAGAAGATTTTCAAAAATATGTCACTAAATGTTCACTAATTCTTAACTACTTTGCTCGAAAGAGGGCATAACCCTTCATTTGAACAAACTTGAATCCTCTTTATCCATGGATGCTATGTGGCAAGTTTGCTTGAAATTGTCCCAGAAGTTCTTGAGAAGAAGCTGAAATTATGAAAAGTTTTCAGACAGAGGAACCGTCAGACAAAATGTAATCAGAAAAGTTCACTTGAACTTCCAGTTCAGCTGATCTAAAAATGTCAACCCCAACACCAATTATATCGGCACATGATTGTACATAAAATAAACGCAAAAAATAATTTCCAAATAATCATTACTACTGAACAAAAAAAAACTAATACATGTATTCTATCTCCATGTATATATTACAAGAAAAAAGAATAGGCTGATTTTTCAGATATTTACTACGGTAAATAATACGGTGAATAATTACGGTATCTTGACATATCATAGTGATGTACATCAATCCTCGACACAATTATTTGACCAAAAAGTTTTCTCCCTACAGTGTTACTAGTAAAGGTGTCTGTCTCCTCTGTGTGTGTGTGTGTGTGTGTGTGTGTGTGTGTGTGTGTATTGTCAAACTCTCTTTCCTTTCTCAAGTAAATATTCCTCAAAACAACATATCGACGACAATATATGCCGACCTTGACTGTACATATTGTCGCCGACGACAATATGTGCTGGTGCTTGACTGTACATTTTGTAGTCCATTATGCAGGAGGAAAAGAAGGCCCGTCTCGGTACATATTGTCGCCGGCGACAATATGTACCGATGAACGACAATATGTGCAGTCAGGGTAGGTACATATTGTCGCCGACGACAATATGTACAAAACAACAATATGTACCGTCACACCATTTTCTACGCAAGAACGTAATGACATGAAGATTTGAAAATCTTGAAAAATATGTGATGTTGAAATAAATGATACCCAAGGAATCCAATACTAGTATTAAAAAATTAAAAATTGAAAATATGAAACTCTTTTTTAGAAAAATCTTTCACGTTTGTTGTTGAAGGCATAAAATATTCTATGTGATTGCTTTTTCAATTCCATTTAGATATCCAAGCCATAGGTGGAGGCGACTGGACATTTAAATCAACTCGACAGTGCCTAGATATAAATTCTGAATTCTACATACGTTCAATAGATGGTAGAAAACAGCTTATTCCAACGTGTAACAGCAATAATGTATCTATTAACGCCGTGACAAATTTCAACCAATCGCTTCCGGTGTATGAATTTCCAAACAGATGCATTAACTTAATCATTGACAAATTTTGTTCTGGTGGGGGAGTTGTACCGAATATATTACACTACATTTGGTTTGGAATACAAAATTTTGAGCTTATTCATTTCGTTAGTTTCTATAGTGCTTATAAAAAGCAGAAGCCATGTTTAATTTTACTCTTTTCTGATTTTTTACCATTTGGTGACTTGTGGGATCTTTTACTCACTGTTATTCCCAATATAATTCATATTAGAGTTTCACCTCCATTATATATCTCAGGAAGACGTATTTCATGGGTGCAGCATAAATCAGACATAGTTAGACTTCATATTTTGAAAGGTAAGACCACAAGCATCATACATGTATAGATATAACTTATTAAATTGAAAATTATCATTATTTATTTAAAGCAAGATTTCAAGATTTCATAATCCAGACACGCACGACGCAAAAACTTTCCATTTTCTATCCGACTTGAGAGAAAAAAATATAAAATGCAAGGAGATGTACAAATTAGACAGGCAATTCAGGATAGTAAAAAAAATACATTTGAACTACCCTTTAAAAAATCAAGGCAATTAAATTTTGGATCCGACATGGATCCGAAGACTAATTAACTCAGATACAAAATGGCTAAAACTTCTTGAATCAGAATTAGGAATAAAAGTTGAATCTTTATGGGTAAGAGGTTTAGACTTTACTGTTAATATGTGTAATAAAATAAGTAACAAGTTTTGGAAAGAGGTTTTACTTAATTGGGTAAAGATCATTGACTCTGGTCAAAATAATATGCAAATTCTTCATGAACATATATGGTTTAATTCAAGAATTAAAATGAACAACTCATCCATATTTTTGAAAAGTTATTTTGATGCAGGCTTTGTTTTTGTAAGAGATCTGTTTGACTCTGAAGGAAAATTTGTAAGCCTTGAGTACCTCACAAATCTTAATGTAAAAACAAATTTTGTAGAATATGCAGGTTTAAAAGTAGCTGTTTTAAAAACATTGAAAAGTATTGATATTGAAAAAAGAGAAACTGGACCTTTTATCCCTAATTCACTTTATATTTTTTATAAAAGTACAAAAGGCTGTAAAGACATGTATAGTTTACTCATTAAGAAGAAAAAGGAAGCAATTAAGGCACTAGAAAAATCGGAAAATAATGGAATATTTTTTGGCGATATAGACTGGAACAAAATATTTGAACTTCCTTTTAAAGTAACAAAAGAAGCAAAATTTCAGTGGATGCAATTACAAATTCTGCATAGGATTATTGCAACAAATAAATACCTTTACAATCTCAAACTAATTGATTCACCTGTATGTTCCTTTTGTAAACAAGATGTCGAAACTATTGAACACTTATTTTTTGAGTGTTTCTGCGTTAAAAAAAATATGGTGTCACATTGAGGAATGGTTTATAAATAAGTTTCATTTTACCATTAATTTTGATAGAAAGGATATACTTTTTGGCAAATTCAACAACAAAAACATGTTTAGACTACACAACATATTACTACTTACTGTTAAGCAATTTATTTTTGCTAGTAGGTTTAAAAATGTGCCTAAACTAAGCATCTCAATGCTAGAAAAAAATATTGTGGATAGAATATTAGTTGAAAAAGTTATACTTTTAAGAAACTGTAAATTTTCAGAATATGAAAAATATTGGAAAACTATTTGTGATATGATATAATGTATTTATTTTTCTCAAGTTTATATACAAATGTACAAGTATGTTAAAATACTTAATACTGTTCCCCCCACCTCACTTTTTTGCACCCTTTCACCCCCTTTTTCCTTTCTTTAATTTTACCTCAGTATATAAAGCTTTCACAGCGAATATTCATTAAAATGTACAATATGTCATATACAAATTTAATGTGATTTTGAAATGCAACATATATTTACTACAAAGAAATTATATTTAATATGAAGTAGCAGGCAGTAGAAATGAAAGTATGTATTGAATGTTAACTAATATATTGTATAGTCTGTATATGTGAAAGCACAAATAAAATCTATAAATTAAAAAAAAAATTTTGTTTTAAAATTGCAATGTACATCTAATTTTGTCTTGTATTTAATCATTTTTTAAAAACTTTACCTAAAGATTCAAGTTTTTTATCTGCAATTTTTTCTTAGTTATGCTTAAAGTAGATTATGATATTCCTATAAAGGTTAAACCTTTACTCTTTAAGTTTAATCCTTTTCTGTGAAATATTTCAGGAATAAAGAAGTTGTATCGATATACTGATAACATATTATTATACAATATTTTAGAGTATGGTGGCATATATTGTGATACAGATCAAATAATCCTACGATCACTAAATGTCTTCAGAAACAATGAATGTACAATGGGCAATGCGCATGATGGTTCCCTTGGAAGTGCATTAATTCTGGCAGCAAAGAACTCCCAATTTATTAATAAATGGATCGAAAGTTACATATCTTATGATCCAACGAAGTGGGGAGACAACTCGGTGACTATGGCCATGAAGCTCGCCAAAGAGAATAAGGATTTAATTGAAGTGCAAGATCATCATTGCGTTTTCTTTCCACACGCAATGATTTTGTATAACCAGAATTACAAATGGTCTCACAGTTACGGGTTACACGTCTATAAACTTGGTCATATAGAAGAATTAAAAAGGCTGAATTTCACAAATATACGACGCCTAAACAGTACAATAGGTGCTGTGATTCGGTACATTTTGTACGGAAACAAAGAGATGTGTGAATAAATACCAAAGGTGTTATATATGTTTTTGTAGAAAGATACGAATGTGAAAGACACAATACATGTAGAATTTCGTAATTTCTTAAGGTTACGATAAATGTAAATGAGTTTAGACAGCCTCTTGGAGTCAGATCTATTATGACGTCATAATTTTTTACCGTACTTTATAGGTATTATTAAATTATGTAGAAAGTGAAGCATTTTCACGACTTTCAATTTGAAATCATACTAAATGTAATCTGGATACCTATATTCAATCTAATTTATCTTATAAAAAAGAAGTCAAGAACAAATACCGTTCTCTGGGAAACAGTATGTAACCAGGATACTTTTGATTTGTGTGATATGAAATTTATAGATTTTTTTTTTAATTGTAAAAAGACAGTTCATCATTTTGTTGTCTTTACCGAAAATTTATGCTGCGGTACATCATATGATTTAAACCAGATATGAGAATTTAGCATCATAAACATTTATTTTTAAACATAAACATTTAAACCTTAAAGTCCAAATATTCATGCTGAAATGGGGAATCAAATTTATGAAAATAAAACTGAAAAAAACTTATTTTTAAAGAAAAATACTTTATGTGCATGCATTGTCGCTGTAAATCTTTTTTTTTACTTTTACATTAAGGGTTATTCTTACATTAATGATTGCATAAGGTGCACTAATTCAGCCTTTGGTTAAGATGAGCTACGAAAATAAATACGAATAAAAGTGTCACCTCTTACATATAACAGCATACTTTAGTGTTCCTTTGAAGGTAAATTGAATGTGGTTAAGTTTTTGAGATACAATGTACAAAATAGCTTCTTGAAATAAGTGTACTTCTTTTTAAAATTTACATCTTGACCTAACAAAATGAGTGACAACAGATGCTTTTTGAGCTGTACACGTTAATCGTGAGAGATACTTGAAGTACAATGTAAGGAGACGTGTGGGAAGCTCGAGACTCTCACACTTATCATTAGGTTCAAATATGGCCCCTGAAATAAACTTTGCTGTTTATAAGTATTTATCATATGTTAGCAACAAATGATTTAATTCCTCATTCCGTACATATTGATAAAATACATGTGCATTGTGTTCAGCAATATAAATATCATCGCATTAAGCTCTGTAACTCAGGATCTTTTACCTTTGCTAAAAAAGAATTATATATAAAAAGGCTTTAAAATCATGCTCAAAATTAAAAAGGAAGTTATGTCTAATTGCCATAATGTCAGTATTAACCTTCATTTATTTGATCATATAATCGTTCCTATTCTTGTATATGTTGTGAAATTGGTGGGATGAGACTGGGGGTGGGTGGGTCGGTGGGGGGCCTAACCGTTTGGTTTCCAAAGTTACGAATAGAGATATTACCATGGACATAACGTTTAACAAATTGTAATGCGAAACACTGCACATTAAATACTGCAAGGCTATTCCTGGTGTGCATAGAAAATTTACAAATTTTGCAGTTCTCTCTGAAGTTGGACGATTTTCCATTGTATTATTAAATTATTCAAGCCATGATAAAATATCGATTTCGACTTGTAACAATGCATCCATTTTTCATCTTACTCAGGAAAGGATATCCGGTGTTGAAGAGCATTTTCCTTCAACATAAACCATCATGGTTTGCATCCATCCAAACAATGTTGACTCAGTTATCCGAATTCAAAAACATTGACACATTAAAACAAAGTCCCAATTCATTTAAAAAGAAGTCATCAAGTATTATAAAACATTATTTATAAACCTATGGCATAAAGAAAATGAGCAGCAAAATAATTGCAATCTAAGAACTTATGTTATAACTTTGAAAGAGAGCACTATTTCACAATTGTTAATAATTTTGATCATAGGAAAGCTGTATCTAAGCTCCAAATTCCTGTATATCAACTAAATATTGAAAAGGGAAAATATATACAGGCCTTCCACCTGAATTAAGAGTATACTCTCAATTTAATTTGATATAAAAACCATTTCAAAAATTGATTCAAATTTCTCTTTTTTGACACCTACTGAGAAACTAGAATGGATTTAAAAATTATAAAGTATGGAAGTTCTTTCTTTGTTTGAAAAAAAAAAATATTTTTGAAAACAGTAAAAGAACTATAAATACATTTATTAACATATATATGCATGTTTTTTGAAATTTATTTCTGAGATACAAAAGAACATTCAAATGTATAAATAGATATACTTGTATTAATATTTACCATTACATGTATGTATTATCATAAGATCAAGGCCACTAGACACAATGTAGCTTACTTATATAATTAAACACAAATATGCATTATTATTGTCTTCTGTGGTGATAAAGTTTAAATTGTACTTTTATGTGTTACAAACTCTTCCTGGGACCTTGACTAGTCAATAAAATACATTTGTATAGATCTTGTGCTTTTAGAGTGTATTGTACATTTTAGATACAGTATTAAACTATAAGAAACAAAAGAGGATATTCTATCCTTCTCCTAAAGGATATGTATCTTCCACTATCATTTTCAAATGGTTAAGTGAAAATTTGGGACCTGATTTTTCAAAATCACTTACTTTTTTCAAGAAAAAAATTTTTAATGCGTTTTTTACTTTACTTTTTATTTATTACAGATGTGTATGTCATTCAATAAAAAAACAAGATGTGTTTGTGAAACACTGTTATATGTGGCAGCTCATGGCCAAGGCTAAAGTTTTTCAAAAGTATGTCAAACTTCAAAGTCAACACAATTTCCACAGGAAACGAAGTAAGGCGCCAGTTCCGGTGGTCCATCTCCAAATATTTACATCAATTGAATATTTACTTCTTTATTTCTTAAGAACAAGGTCATGAGGTCAAAAAAGTTGGTGTCCAAAAAAGGTCCTGTCACAATGAATACACTTGTGAAAAATAAAAGCCCTTGAGCCAACCGTCCATGAGTTATGGCCAAGGTTAAGTTAGAAAAAAGTAAACATAGATGCCACTTCTTAAATTAAGTGATCTATGATCAGGCCTCAAAGAAGCCTTTAAAAATTAGACGCCAGCTAGCTCCTGGCCAAAAAAGCATAACTTATGATGAATTCATATTTTAAGTTCATGAAAATAAATTATCCTAAATAAAAAAGCTTATATACTGAAAGTAAGTTATACAAATAGGAATGCAATAAAGAAGTAAGTAAACTCACAATCAATTAACTCTCCGCACTTATTGTAACCCCACGCTACCCCCTACAATTTATGACTTAATTGAACTTGAATCCACACAATATGATTCACTTTCAATATGACTAAATTGGCTTTGCTGTTCTTGAGAATTCTTTTTTTTATTTTCTGCATACTGTACATGCAGTATGTGAATAGTTATCCCCGATTTTAGCCTTACAGTAATCCTGGGTCTATATTTAAAACAGCAAACTTGAAATCACAGAAGTTGTTGAATGTTTGCTAATTAATATGATGTATGATATGATATATTTCTACTCTTGAAAAGGTTTTTATAAAATTCCAGATTTATTCTCAAGTTACATTTTTATCCCCTAATGTGTCCATGCCCATGGTTCAAACGCTTAAATCTGCACTGTCTGAGGATAGTTGAATACATATTTACTCACTATTCTCTGCTTTTTTGAGAGAGAGAGAATTGTTTTTAATATTTTTTATATCTTTCCATGATTACTTTTATCCCTCACAGGGGCCTTACCCTAATACCAAGCACCATGATTCGAACTGGAATCTCAATCTACAATGCCTTAAGATGTTTGCTTATAAACATGACTAATGTTGGTGCTGTTGATTGAGACACTTTTTAAAGATTTATTTTCAGACATTTCCGTATAAATATTTGACCCATATGGTGGCCCAATCTTACCCTAAGGACCTAATTTTTGTACAAATTTTAGTTTGGAGAAGTATGGATACTTGTCTATCAATATGACTGATCATAGCCCTGCTGTTTCTAATTTTAAGCGATTTTTTCCTATTTATTCCCATGTAAACTTTGAATTCCATTGTGGTCAAACTTACCCCCCATCCCAATATCTTCAGCCCCCCCCCCCTTCCTATCAATGATTAAAGGAATTTGAAGAAAATGTCAGGAAAGTTTTGTTTTGAGTTTTATCTGCAGGCCCCGTATTTCTTGAGAATTTTTTTTATTAACTTAGTACACTATTTTTGTCTTTCTTGATTTTCTTTGAAAAATGTCATTACCCTTCACTAGATAAAACCTTTAATCCCCTTACAAATACTCTGTGCCAAGTTTGTTTGAAATCGGTCCAGTGGTTTTATACAAAGAATCAAAAATGTATACCATGTTAACAGAAAGACAGACAGACGGACGGATGACCGAAAATCTTAGATAAGTAAAGTGCTGAGAGTTGATTGTGAGCTTACTAACTTCTTCATTGCATTCCTAAAGGTAAAATTTACTCTCTCTGGATAATCTTTATGTTTCGGATAATTTATGTACATGAAGTAAAAATATGAATTTATCATAAGTTATCACATTTTTTTTTTGGCCAGGAGCTAGTTGGAGCATAAATTTTAGAGTTACTTTGAGGCCTGATCATATCACTTAATTTATGATGTGACATGTATGTTTACTTTTTCTATTTTCAGGGGGATAAACATTCAGCGTTTACGTATATATATATATATATATATATATAGAGAGAGAGAGAGAGAGAGAGAGAGAGAGAGAATAATGTTGGTTGTATATGTGTAATTTATTGTCAAACTCCTGAAGATTGAAAAAAATGAAGCCAGTAGAGTTCATTTCGGTGTTGTGATATATATATATATATATATATATATATATATATATATATATATATATATATATATATATATATATATATATATATATATATATATATATATTAACATAAATGCCACTCAGAAGAATTAAGAATTAAGGAAAAGATCAGAAAGTCAAGAAAATATGGGGAAAAAACGAGAAAACAAAAACAACTAGCATTAACCTAATCTTCTGAATAGCATACCTTTGAGTTGTAGCATAATAAATTTTAATTAACA